AAAAAAAAAAAAAAAAAAAAGATGATAATTTATTTTTTAGGACTTCACTGGAATATTATTTGGAGAAAGTGTCATGGAAGTTCTGCGTCCACAGCTTGTAACAATTGATGGTCGGAATTACAGGAAGAATCCCATCCAGGAACAGACTTGTCATCATGAAGAAGATGATGAAGATTTTTATCACGGTAATCCTAGTTGCTGTTTGGTCAGATTAGAAGTAATGTCTGGTGTTTTGTAGGAATTTGTTTTGTTTCAGCGCCGAAATTTGAGATGTTTGGCTTCACATAGCTCCATTTGTGTTGATGTTTTAGGGTACTGAAGAGTTTGATAGGTGGTCTCAATTGCAATTCATAAGTCAAATTATGTTTCTCCTTTGTACAGAGGCTTAAATGTCACAAGGAATAATTTGTTAACTGTTATTAGCCGTTCATATACTGTGACAACATAAGTTTCTTTATCTGTGAAGTTGTTAAGTTATATATATGTATATATATTCGTGTATACATATGAGAATTATTAGAATAAATGAGCATAAGTAAAGTCCAGTGCCCAGCACTGTTACTGAATTCTTTGCATGCTCTGATGTGCCTTATATAAATGGTTTGGTATTTGTATGTAATCTACACATACCCTCTTTTTTTTTTGAGACAGAGTCTCACTTTGTCGCTCTGGATAAAGTGCTGTGGCGTCACAGCTCACAACAACCTCAAACTCTTAGGCTTAAGCGATTCTCTTCCTTCAGCTTCCCAAGTAGCTGGGACTACAGGCGCCTGCCACAATGCCTGTTTTTTTTTATTTTTTTGTAGTTGTCATTGTTGTTTAGCAGGCTCAGGCTGGGTTCGAACCTGCAAGCCTGGTGTATATGACTGGTGCCCTAATTGCTGAACTACAGGTGTCGAGCCCCATATACTTTAAATCATACCTGGATTACTTATAGTACCTAATACAGTGTGTTACGTAAATAATTGTTATACTTTTTTTTTTTTTGTAGTTTTTGGCCAGGGCTGGGTTTGAACCCGCCACCTCTGGCATATGGGGCAGGCGACTTACTCCCTTGAGCCACAGGTGTCACCCTGTTTTTTTAATTTGTCTTACTTTTTTCTTGAGAGAGAGTCTCACTTTGTCCCCCTCAGTAGAGTGCCATGGCGTAATAGCTCACGGCAACCTCAAACTCTTGGGCTTGAGTGAGTCTTTTGCTTTAGCCTCCCGAGTAGCTGGGACTATAGGTACCTGCCATGAGACCCGGCTATTTTTCAGAGACGAGGTCTCACTCTGATTCAAGCTGTTCTCCAACCTGTGAGATCAGGCAATCCACCCACTGAGAGTGCTGGGATTACAGGTGTCAGCCACTGTGCCTGGCCTGTCCTATTTTTTTATTGCTGTATTATAATTTTTTTTCCCAAATTTTTTCGGTTTGCGGTTGGTTGAATTCATAGATATGGAACCCTCTGATACAGAGGGCCACTGTACATACATATCTATGGTTAAAGCTTCATTTATAAATTATGCACAGGAAGATTAACACTAATGAATAATAAAATAGAACTATTATAACAATTCATTGTGATACAAGAATGTAGTCTTCCTCTTTCAATATCTTATTGTGTGTAATATTTTTGGACTGCAGCTGATTGTGGGTAAGGGTAAACCTACTTTGGAAAGTGAAACTAGGTAAAGAGGGGATTACTCTGTGTATGCTACTTTCCCAAGATTCTAGGACTAAAAGGCTTTAAATAGTCACTATGTGTTTTTTTATGCCTCATGTGGTCTGCATTGTAAGGTTTGGGCTAGTCTTTGTGCCTGTGGATTGCTATTTTATTTTATTTTATTTTATTTTTGAGTCAGAGTCTCACTATGTGGTCTTGAGTAGAGTGCTGTGGTGTCACAGCTCACAGCAACCTCTAACTCTTGGGCTTAAGTGATTCTCTTGCCACAGCCTCCCAAGTAGCTGGCACTACAGGTGCCTGCCACAATGCCCGGTAATTTTTTGGCTATAGTTTTCATTGTTGTTTGGCAGGCCCAGACTGCATTTGAACCCGACAGCCTTGGTGTATATGACTGGTGCCCTAGCTACTGAGCTACAGGCACGGAGCTTGGATTGCTTTTTTAAAACACCAACAGTGGTTGGCTGGTGGACAGCTGTGGAGATGGCTGCTGTCCACATAGCAGCAGTGTTTCTGAGCAAGATGTTGTGGTTTCTCTGTAGGCTCCATGGAATGTGCTGATGAGCCCTGTGATGCCTATGAGGTGGAGCAGACCCCACAAGGATTCCGGTCTACTGTGAGGGCCCCCAGCCTGCTCTACAAGTGAGTGAAGTCCCCAGTTGCTCCCTGGGGTGGTACTTCCTAGAAACTCAGCAGAAAGCTGACCCTTTAAGTCTTCTTGTTGCAATGCTTAATTACTAATGATAAAATAGTGTTTTATATCCTAAAATTTCAAAGGACTGATTGCAGATTAATTTCATCATTCCATGTGATAAAGTCTTATTGCCAAATCCTGTTGATTTTGCCTCATAAATATCTTTGAATCCACTGCTTATCTCTTATCTTCACTAATCTCCTGTGCCTTTTCTGTGGATTACTTAAAGTAGCCTATTTACTGTTCTTTTCATATTGATTCTTGTTCTCTTCCCAGTCTATTCTTCACATTGAGGGTGAAAAGATCTTTTTTTTTTTTTTTGAGACAGAGCCTCAAGCTGTCCCCCTGGGCAGAGTGCCGTGGCATAACAGCTCACAGCAACCTCCAACTCCTGGGCTCAAGCGAGTCTCCTGCCTCCGCCTCCCAAGTAGCTGGGACCACAGGCGCCCGCCACAACGCCCGGCCATTTCTTGGTTGCAGCCGTCATTGTTGTTTGGCGGGTCCGAGCTGGGGATCCGAACCCGCCACCTTAGGTGTACGTGGCTGGCGCCTCAGCCGGTTGAGCTATAGGCGCCGAGCCGAAAAGATCTTTTTAAAAGGAAAATCTGATTGTTTTACTACCTCTGCTTAAAATTCATCAAATAGCCTTCCACTGATGGTAGAATTCTATTCCATTGGAGTAATGGCCCAAGTGTTTTTTTTTTTTTAGAGAGAGTCTTATGCGTTGCCCTTGGTAGAGTGCTGTGGTACCACAGCTCACAGCAACCTCAAACTCTTGGGCTAAAGCGATTCTCTTGCCTCAGCATCCCAGGTAGCTGGGACTACAGGCACCCACCACAACGCCCGGCTTTTTTTTGGTTATAGTTGTCTTTGTTGTTTGGCGGGCCCAAGCTGGATTTGAACCCGCCAGCTCCCGTGTATGTGGCTGGTGCCCTAGCTGCTGAGCTTTAGGTGCCAAGCCATGGCTGAAGTCTTGAATGTGATTTAGCTGGCCTGGCATTTTTCAGTCTCAGCCGATACTGTCACCTCCCTGGCTTTATGCTTACACCTTGGTGGTTTTCTTCAGTTCCTCAACTGTGTAGTGCTTCCTTCTGCCCTAGAGCTTTTGCATGTGCTGCTTTTTGGGCTTAGCATCATTCCTCTTCGTTACCTAGCAATATTCTCCTTCCTGAGGGAAGGCTGCTTTGATACCATCTTCCCCACTAACTGCATTGTTGCCCTACTATATGTCTCCATAACATCCTCTACTTTTTCTTTGTGGCATTTAGTATAGTCTATGTTTATGTTTACTTATATATTGTTTGATGGCTCTTGTCCTAGATGGCAAGCTTCTTGAAGGGAGGTGTCTGTTCCATTAATCCTAATGTTTATCACAGACTAAACATTCTTTTTTCAGGATCATCTTTATAAATTACTTGGAAACTTTGTGATCTCTTCAGTATGTGCTTGTTTACTTGTGAGTTTGCCTACATTTTGTACCATATTAACCACTAAAAGAATATTCTCACCTTATGTGGCTAATTGATTTCTTTGAGGCTTATATATCTGAACATAAGTTGGTATAGGAAGTCGTCCATAAGTTGTTTTTTAGTGTTATACCAGATGAATTAGGTCTGTCCAAGCATGGTTTACAAATGTGGAATCATACACCTTTAATCTCCATCTTATCCTGTCTGTGTTGTTATGAAGGAAGCTCTGAGGCTGGTTAATTTATAAAGAAAAGAGGATTATTTGACTCACAGTTCTGCAGGCTATCCAAGAATCATGGCACTCAGCTTCTAGGGCCTCATGCTGCTTCCACTCGTGGTGGAAGGTAAAGTGGAGCTGACATGCAGAGATCACTTGGTGAGTGGAAGCAAGGCAGGGGGAGGTGCCAATCTCTTTTTAACCACCAGCTCTCACAGGCACTGAAAGAGTGAGAACTCAGTCTTTACCAGGAGAATTGAACCAAGCTATTTGTAAGGGATATGCCTCCATGACCCAAACACCTCCCTTTAGACCCCTGCTCTAACATTAGGAATTACGTTTTCAACATGAGATTTGGAAGGGTCAAACACTCAAACCATAGCAAACTCCAGGAGGCAACAGTTTCACTTTAATCAACTTTGATAATGTTCTGAAACACCTGTTAAGGATGAAATTCTTGGCTCGGCGCCTGTGGCTCAAGCGGCTAAGGTGCCAGCCACATACACCTAAGGTGGCGGGTTTGAATCCCCAGCCTGGGCCCACCAAACAAC